CATTAGCATAACAGGCCACACCCAACAGCAGAAACTAATTCGGATTGGCTACATTAGGGGGGTGCGGCCTAACATGCAAAGGAGTTCCTGCTACAAAAAAAGGCCCTGGGTTTTGACAACAAACAAGGTAAATAGAATAACAAGCAAAAGGTGGGTGTGGCTGGATGAGCATACTTCTGGTAACATGGGGGTGCGGCCTAATGTGCTAATGAGCTGTGCTGTCAGGGGTGTGGCCTAATATGCTAATGAGCTTCTGCTCTTGGGTGTGGCCTATTATGCTAATGAGTTCCTGCTGGGCTTTTTCTACAAAAAGAGCCCTGCCCAAGGTCATCCAGCAGCTGCAAGTGGAGGGGTGGGGAATCAAACCTGGTCTGCGCACTTAACCACGAGACCAAACTGGCTCTCTTTTCTGAAGGTCAGTATTGTCCCCTCAGACTGGCAGCAGCTCTCCAGAGTCTCAGGCAGAGATCTTTCACATCACCTTTAACTAGAGATACCAGGGATTGAATCTGGGACCTGCTGTGCGTCAAGCATATGTTCTACCCCTGACCAATAGAAGAAGAGGAGATTGGATGTATACCCCACCCTTTACCAGTGTTCCCTCTAAGCTGAGTGAGTGTGAGCTAGCTCACGGTTTTTTAGCCTCCGGCTCACACATTTTTGCCTTAGCTCAGGAAGGAGGGCTCCAGAGCAAACTCATTTATGCAGTAGCCAAGTCACTTTCTCACAACTTTAGTGCCAGTAGCTCACAAAGTAGAATTTTTGCTCACAAGACTTCACAGCTTAGAGGCCGCCTTGCCCTTCATTACCCAAAGGAGTCTCGGAGTGGCTTACAACCTCCTTCTCCTTCCCCTCCCCACAACAGACACCCTGTGAGGTAGGTGGGGCAGAGAGAGCTCTTTCGAGGACTGCTCGTGAGAGAACAGCTCTGAAAGAACTTGTAACTGCTCCCACAGCCGCTTTCTCACCTGCCCATAACTCTCCAGCCCTTGGAGGTTACAAATGAATGGCAGAAGCCCTCTGAAAGGTCAAATTTCCAGGCTCAATTTATCCTGGGCAAAACAACCCCTGAGCTCTTCTCTTTAGTTTGCATTCAATATTTGGTCATTTGGGCCATTTCTATACCATACTGTTCTCCCAACATAGTCAAAACCCAAGAGGGTGTGTGTGTGTGTTTGTGTGATAATGATAAATAAAATACAAAAATGTTAACATTAATTAAAACACGTCACTAGAAACAGGGCATTTAAAAATAACAATTACAGACAATTAAGACAGTTAATTGTAACCGCGAGGGCCAAGCCCATTCAAGGAAAAGGAGTGGAGACTGAAGCAGCCTGAAGTCAATATTCAGAGGATCCTGATTCGTCCCTCTTGCACTGACCCAGCCTGGATTCACACGTGACCAAGAACTCCTCCCTCTTCCAAATATGTTTTGGCTCCACTTCCGTCCCGTTTCATTGCTACACCTTAGTCAGAGGGCCAAATCAGGGACTTGTCTGCACTCGGTTTGGTGTTGTGGTTAAGTGTGCGGACTCTAATCTGGGAGAACCGGGTTCGATTCCCCACTCCTCCAACTGCAGCTGCTGGATGACCTTGGGCAAGCCATAGTTCTGGCACAGCTGTTCTTGAAAAAGAGCAGTCTCTGTCAGAGTTCTCTCAGCCCCACCCACCTCACAGGGTGTCTGTTGTGGGGAGGGGGAGGGAAAGGAGTTTGTAAGCCGCTCTGAGACGCCTCTGGGTAGTGAAGGGCCATGGGGTATAAATCCAATCTCTTCTTCTTCTTCGGGACTCCCTTCCCTTCCCTCTTTATTTTAGAGAACAGTTTTCCTCTTTTGCAAACACTCCCAAGCAGTGCTCCCTCTAAGCTGTGAAGTCTTGTGAGCAACAATTCTACTTTGTGGGCTACTGGTATTAAAGCCGTGAGTGAGCGATTTGGCTGCTGCATAAAATTAGTTTGCTCTGGAGCCGTTTTTTCCCGAGCTAGGACAAAAATGTGTGAGCCGGAGGCTAAAAAAACTGTGAGCCAGCTCACACTAACTCAAGCTTAGAGGGAACACTGCTCCCAAGGTCAATTTATCGAGGAGGAGAGCAGCATGGGGGCTGGGAGAGAGAGAGGGGGGGATTTAACCCTTTCCTCCCCTGCTCTTTCCTCATTGGAGGAAACCTCCCTCAAGTTGCGAGTTTCGATCTTCCTGGAACCATTGCCTGGACTGACTCCCTGCAGCTGTCGCCTTCCTTCCCATCAAATGCACAGGCCCCGCTTTCACCACGGCGGCCAAGGTGGGTTTACCTCAAAGGCACGGCATGACAGTTGCTGGGGGTCGTACTCTCCCTCTAATGTTTCCAAGGCCAAGGAGACTTCCCGGGAGTCTGTCTTTCCCTCAGAGTCCTGGGGACACAAAGCACACTGCAGATGAAAGGGGTGATAATGTAACATGCTTCCTTCATTCTTATTCTCCATTTTTTCCCGCCACCTAAGGTCTCTGACTCCCATTTCCTTTAAAACTCAAAACCTCACTTTTTGGACCGGCTCTGTGTTGGCCGCCACAGTTTATACCCTTTTATTTCCCCCGCAACCACTTTTCCCCCTTTCTATTTCATTCCTCCTCAGTGTTCCAAACTAAACTAGGACTGCTTACTGGACGTAACTCTGTCAAAATACTACACAAGTCATCAGGTTTTGTTATGTGAGGGCGGAAATGGAGCCCATTTGCGGGGTGGCAGCGGCAATGCTAGCGGTAATGCTCATACAGGCAATCCCAGCCAATCAGGGACCTCTCGCTTTTCAGCAATGACTTCCGAAGTTTTCGGCGAAATGTCCCCTTCCCTTATTGTAGTTCGGCCCTCCTCAATCCCCTACAAGCTCCTCTCACGTTACGGTCCGTTTTACCTGTTGAAAATAGTTCATGAGCCCCTCCACATCCTCGGGACGGGCCAGCCCCAAACAACGGGCCAGCTCTGTCGGCCCTAGCTGCCCTGAGGCAGAAACAGGGCAGGGCTCCGACGGGCACTTGGCTCCCACTGGCAGGCACCTGCGAAAAGAGGTCGTTGAAGCCATCAGGAAGGACGGCTCGCTCTGCCTCTTAACTCGGCTCTTTTCGGATTCCCCCACGTGCCTCATTGCGAAGGGAGATGCACCGGGTTGTTTCTCAGGATGGGAGCGGGAAGAGAATCGTGGGCGACCTGGTTTGCTGGCTGGGGGAGGTGGGCACTGGACTAAAGCGTAGCCCTCACGAGCAGATGAGGCAACAGCTCAGGGCATCTTCCGGAAGCGGCTGGCCGTGTGGCCCGTCGTATAGGCCCACCCACTGTTTTGCGGAAGTCCTGTCCCTCCTGCATGATGCATAGGGTTGCCGGGTCCTACCTTTAGCTGCGGCGGGGGGGTCCCGGCCACTAAAGACACCATAGAGTTTCCCCTCGAATGATAGAGCGTCCTCCCCCCCATGTGCCCGGTGCAATGATGTCACTTCCAGGTGACGTCATCACACCAGACACATCGCCGCGATCCTGGCACTTTGGGGGTGGGGTTCCCCCCGGTGGCCGGATCCGGGCCGGTGGGTAAGGGGCCCATCGAGCGGGCAAACCCCGCCCCCCCCGGGGGACCTGGCAACCGTAATGATGCAATAGCACCCTATTTTCATATGAGTGGAATCGTATCTGATGGAACCTGCTTCCCTCTCCCCCCAGGACACTACTGACGTTCTTCTGGAGGCTTATCTGCCAATAAGACGTTAGTCCATTTTTCTGTTCCGTCTCCTCCTTTGTTTCTGCGTTTCCTTGACCTCTGATCTCGACTAATCAGTCATCGAGCGGCTCCTCTCCAGTCCCTCACCTGGCCTTGCGAAGCAGCTTGCCCAGTTCCCAGACGCGCGGCTCCAGTGTCACCCTCAGACGCCCCACTACAGTGACTGGAAGGTTGCCCACGAACTCACAGTCTGTGGCAGGGATTCCCAGGGCCCTAAAAGGGAGGGCAGGAGGGGGGCAAAAGAAGACAGAGGTCTCGCGTTGTTGCTTTGTGTGTCCCCATCAAATGACGCCCCAGTTCTTCCACGCAAGAAGGGGGCGCATTTCCCCCATTGCGACACTTCTAAACCAGCCGCTAAGAAATCTTCGCAGGCTCACAGCAGAACAGGAGGCCTACAGATCCTGACCAGCCTTCCCCCTAAGCTGTGGGCGTGAGCGGCCGCTCATGAACCCAGGAAGCCCCGCTCAGCAGCAGTCTGAAGCAACATTCCCTCTAAGCTATAAATTAGTTTGCTCCGGAGGCATCCTTCCTTAAGAGTTTAAAGTTTTTATTGTTTTTATATAAAAAAGTTGTATTTACAAACATTTCATCTGTTTCATTTATACACAAATTAGTGTCCTTCATTTCATCTTATTTCTAATACATATTTGGGTTATTAAGTTACAGTCTGTTCTTCTATCCACTTATACACTTTCTCCCATCTCCTTTTATGTACCTTCTCATTCTTATTCTGCAGCATTAAACTTAGATCGACAAAGGAAGATCTAATAAACAAAATACTAGAACTAGCCAGAATGGACGATCGGAGGCATCCTTCCTGAGCCGAGACAAAAATGTGTGAGCCGGAGGCTAAAAAACTGTGAGCTAGCTCACACTAACTCAGCTTAGAGGGAACACTGGTCTGGAGCTGCGCAGGGTCTTGCACCGCCCCTTGCCCGTTTTAAGATTACAGCAGTTATATTCTTCTCATGATGTGCACTGCTCCGCTCAGTGGGCGAAAAAATTAGAGGGAACATTGACAACGATGTCTGTATGGGGCACTGGCACTGTGGGTAGTGGGAGGAATGCTACGAAAAAGGCCAGCTTGTCATGGTTTGGCGATGTTGCCCTGCTTTTTTCAGCCGGAAGGGGACCCCCCTGAACCTAACCCTCTGTTTCCCAGGATTCCCCTCCCTGTGATTGTCTGGCCCTCCCCTTGGCAAAGCCCTTCGCCCCGCAACCTGCCGTCATGTGCACTGCTTGCCACTCACCGGGCCATGACTTTCTGGACGTTGTTAGCGTACAGCGTAGGGTTCACCGCCTCTTCAGCGCTGGGTTGATAAACTGGGAGGAACTGAAGATTACAGGAAGAATTAAGAATAAGGAAAGGGGTCACCACCAAGAGGTTTGGGGATAGGGTAGAAAATTATTCTGATTGGGATCAAGGCAGGGGGTGAGAAAGGTATCACAGGCATCCACACATCCTGTGGCCCCCCTGAGAGTAAGTGAGTGTGTGTATTATGTGGAACACCCAGTCAATGCTAACTTATTCTGAACCGATGAATTAATGACCTCCCAAATGTCCTATCCTGAACATCATTGCTCAGGTCTTGCAAACTGTGGTTTCATAAGAACATAAGAGATGCCAATGTTGGATCAGGCCAAAGGCCCATCCAGTCCAACACTCAGTGTCACACAGTGGCCAGAAATACCAGGTGCCATCAGGAGGTCCACCAGTGGGGCCAGGACATTAGAAGCCCTCCCACTGTTGACCCCCCCCAAGCACCAAGAAGACTGAGCATCACTTGCCCCAGAGCCCCTATCTATACCTTGTGGCTAATAGCCACTGATGGACCTCTGCTCCATATGCTTATCTAATTCCCTTTTGAAGCCGTCCATGCTTGTAGCCGCCACCACTTCCTGTGGCAGTGAATTCCATGTGTTAATCACTCTTTGGGTGAAGAAGCACTTCCTTTTATCTGTTCTAACCCGTTTCCTTTATTTAGTTTATTAATTATATGGCGGGCTTCCTCCTTTCCTACTCTGTATGATCCCTGCCTTTTTCCTATCCAGGGTTAAGGCAGCCGCTGCACAGGGTGGTGGATCGTCAGTTAGGGAAACGGGGCAACTCCCACTTCTCCAGCACCGAATCTCCAGTCCCGATAAATCCCCCAAAAGGCTGCTTCTTGCACCTAGATAACTCGTTGTAGGATCTGGTCATGAAACTCAAATGAGTTGGTCCCTAAAAAAAATCCCCTGGCAGGATCATCATGAAGTCGGGAATCCGAGTCATTAAAATCATGCAATGCAATATGTCCTCAAGAATAAAAATCTTCAAAAGATGGGCAAGGAGTGAAAGGGCGTGGTGAACTTTCGGGGGGAGAGGCACAAAGGCCAGGTGATACAGACAAGACAGTCGGACCAGCACATCTGTCCTCTCACGTCTATCAATGTGTGCATATGTACCAGAGCCTCAGAAGAAGACCTAAGATCATGGGCAGGTTCATATGTGTGGAGGAAGTCCTTGAGGTATCTATGGCTGCGATCAGATGGGCAGCTCAACCCGCTGTTGCCCCGCCTCTAATTAGAGCCAGATTATTGTGTTACAGAGAATCCTGACCAGACTCACCCCTTTTTGGCACTCTTCAAAGTGATTTTACTGGCCTTGGAGTGATCAGACGGCACCAAGCACGGAGTCAGCCCGTCGGTCATTTTTTTTTGTGGGCACGCAAGACAGTCGGACCAGCACATCTGTCCTCTCACGTCTATCAATGTGTGCATATGTACCAGAGCCCCAGAAGAAGACCTAAGATCATGGGTAGGTTCATATGTGTGGAGGAAGTCCTTGAGGTATCGATGGCTGCGATCAGATGGGCAGTTCAACCCTCTAATTAGAGCCAGATTGTTGTGTTACAGAGAATCCTGACCAGACTCACCCCTTTTTGGCACTCTTCAAAGTGATTTTACTGGCCTTGGAGTGATCAGACGGCACCAAGCACGGAGTCAGCCCGTCGGTCATTTTTTTTTAGAAGAAGAAGAGATTGGATTTATACCCCGCCCTTCACTACCTAAGGGAGTCTCAGAGCGGCTTACAAGCTCCTTTCCCTTCCCCTCCCCACAACAGGCACCACATGCACACAAGTGCTTGCTGAGAATGCTGGGATATGTAGTTCATGGGCTGTCAGCCATTACTTTTAAAAGTTTTCCCGCTGAGCATGCACACAAGTGCTTGCTGAGAATGCTGGGATATGGAGTTCACTGCCATCCTCCCTGTAATCTTTTCAATTTACCCCTTCCCCAAAGGACAGAAAAAGGCTGAAGAACAGAGGCGTCTCTCTTTGAGAGCCTTTAAAAAGAAAGAAAGTTTTGAGCAGCCCCTGTAGGGGGAGGGAGGGAGGGAGAGAGAGAGAGGGGTGCAAATGTGCAGTTACGTGATCATTGCTAACTAGTTTGTAAAAAAATGGTGTCTGGAAAACAAGAGACCAGTCAGACCTGCCTGATGGCTGGGGTGCGCAAGAGTGCGACCAGACAGCAAGACATCTGTTTTGGAACCAGCTCAGACCAACAGGACCAGACTTTCTCAGGTATCAAAGAAATCCACAGCAAGGGGGAGGGGGAAGGGGACTCAGACGACTGGGGCACGACAGACAGATGTTGCTGTCTGATCGTGCACTTTAAATCCATAAGGGAACAGCAAGGGCAACGGATCAAATGGCCCATGTGAGGCATGCAAAAGTTCAATCCCGGGCATCTCTAGCTCAAAGGGTGAGGTGGTACGCCCTCCACCTGAGATCCTGAAGAGCTGTTGCCAGGCAGAGTAGACCAGCGGTCCCCAACATTTTTGAATGTGTGGGGAATCTCTGGGATTCTGAGACAGTGTGGTGAGCACAGCCACAAAACAGCTGCGACAGGAGGCAGAGACGGCCACAAAACGGCTACCGCTTCCCTTCAGTCACACAGTGAAGATCCTTGTGCCGTGGTGGCGGCTGTTGCCAAAGCGAGCGTTTTAAAAAGAAGCACAGACAGTCAGATCTCCAGTGGCCAATCAGAAGCCTTGCTGAGCAGAAGCCCCACCTAAATAAATAAATCAGATCTCCAGTGACCAATCAGAAGCCTTGCTGAGCAGAAGCCCCACCTAAATAAATAAATCAGATCTCCAGTGACCAATCAGAAGCCTTGCTGAGCAGAAGCCCCACCTGGCCCTGCCCACTTTCTAAAAAACACTTGGCGGGCACCATGTGCACTGCACTGAGGACTCCTGGAGCAGACAGTACTGACCTAGGTAGACCAAAGGTCTGACTCAGTAGAAGGCAGGTTCCTGTGTTCCTGGGTGTACCCTAATCCTAAACCATTTAGGATTCAAATCTGCAGTTATCAACTCTGAATTCAAAACCCCTGCAAAGTGAGGTGATTTGGGAAACGTGGGAGGTTTGAATCAGGAAGGACAACAGGAGAGCTCCACGGGGGGCACTTGGGCGCCAAGAAATAAAAGGGGCTTGTATTTTTACCTCCATTTCCACAGTAGTGCAGAGCTGGGACGCTGTTAGCCAGATGACCTTCAACCTGGAAGCAGAAAGGGAGGGTTACGCACCAGGCAACGTGTCGATCCGGGGGAGAAGCAAAGGCCTGCCCAGAGACCGCTCTCCCCTCTCTCACCCCCTTTCTCAGTTACTCACACGCCAGGTCCTCTCCACGCCCAGGTGGTTGAATCCTGCAAAGAGAAGAGACCCGTTATATTTACGGGGACCTCTCGGGCCTCCGGTGTGGGTGGGGAGGTTGAACGCTGCCACCTCCCCGTTCCCGGTCTCAGAGACTCACCACACTGTTGGGATATCGGATGAGGACCGGCTGGATGGGGACACCAGATATAAAGGCACCTAGAAGAACGAGAGAGAGACAGAAAAATGGGTCAGCAGGTAGCTTGAGCACCCTCATTTGCAGTGGTGTCTGTGGTAAATTAGGGCTCTTTTTGTAGAAAAAGCCCAGCAGGAACTCATTAGCATAATAGGCCGTACCCAACAGCAGAAATGCATTAGCATATTAGGCCACACCCCTGACAGCACAGCTCATTAGCACATCAGGCCGCACCCCCATGTTACCAGAAGTGTGGTCATCCAGCCACACCCACCTTTTGCTTGTTATTCTGTTTACCTTGTTTGTTGTCAAAACCCAGGGCTTTTTTTGTAGCAGGGACTTCTTTTCATGTTAGGCCACACACCCCTAATGTAGCCAATCCTAATGAGTTTCTGCTGTTGGGTGTGGCCTGTTATGCTAATGAGTTCCTGCTGGGTGTGGCCAACTTGGGAGGCAGCCGGAACTCCGTTCCTGTGCGTTCCTGCCCAATAATAGCCCTGGTGGCAATAATGTAACAACAGAAGAGCCCTGCTGGATTAGATCTGTGGTCCGTCTAGTCCAGCATCCTGTCTCACACAATGGCCAACCAGTTCTTCTGAAGGTTCAACAACGGCATAGAGGCTGACACCTCCAGCAACAGAGTTCAGAGGTTTGCTACCTCTGAATGTGGAGGTTCCCTTTAATCAGCATGGCTAGAAGCCACTGATAGACCAATTCTCCGTGAATTTGTCCAACATGGTAGTCCAATCTCATTAGATCTCGTAAGCTAAGTGGCACCAGCCCTGGTTAGGGTTACCAGCTCTGGGTTGGGAAATGCCTGGAGAGTTTGGGGGTGGAGCCTGAGGAAGGCGGGGTCTGGGAAGGACTTCAGAGAGGTATAATGCCATAGAGTCCACCTTCCCAAGCTGCCATTTTCCCCCAGAGGAACTGATCTCTGTTACCTGAGATCTCCAGCCACCCCTTGAAGGTTGGCTGGTCAGTATTTGGATGGAAGGCAACCAAGGATTACCAGCCTCCTGACATGGAGGTGGGCAATGGCAAACCAACTTTGGCCCCGGTCACACGGGACAGATATCGCAGGGGGGAGGCGTGGCTGTTTGCCCTGCAGCGAACCACCGCACGGCTGCCAGATCAAACGTCCCGCCGACGTCCCGTGGTTCAGGGGGAGGTGCAGATCATACGTCAATCCTCTGGCGCGGCAAAGAAGCAGCGCGGCGGGGGTTGTGTTTTTTTTTTAATTGAAGTGTGTGCATGCGCCGTTGGGTGCTTGTGTGCATCCCATGGAGACTTGGGGAAAAAAACCCTTTTCTCGACGGGACATGGGCGGGCGCCGGATGCCACGAGCTACCACCGGAAACGTGATCAGACGCCCGCCCTTCACGGTTTCCGGAAACTAGTACGTCAGAGGTACTAGTTTTTTACGGCGCATCTTCGGCGGGAAGCCTCGGGTGAGCCACGGGGGCTCTACGCTTCCCAGATGTTGCGGTTTGATCACGCCCGGAAAATCCGCCTATCTTCCGTCTCTGCAGCGTGGCTAATGCTCCGTGTGACCGCAGCCTTTGAACGTCTCTTGCCTTGAAACCCTACGGGGTAGCTATAAGAGAGCTGTGCCTTGACGGCAAAACACACCCCCATAAGACAGAGCTCCGTCTGTATGACCTGACCTTGCAGGCAATGCTCCCTCTAAGCTTTGGAGTCTTGTGAGCAAAAATTCTACTTTGTGAGCTCCTAGCATTAAAGTTGTCAGCGAGCAATTTGGCTCCTGCATAAATGAGTTTGCTCTGGAGCAGTGTTCCCTCTAAGCTGAGTTAGTGTGAGCTAGCTCACAGTTTTTTAGCCTCCGGCTCACCTGTTTTTGTCTTAGCCCAGGAAGGAGGGCTCCAGAGCCAACTAACTGGTGCAGTAGCCAAATCACTTGCTCACAACTTTAATGCCAGTAGCCCACAAAGTAAGATTTTTGCTCACAAGACTCCACGGCTTAGAGGTAACATTGCTCTGGAGCCCTCCTTCCTGAGCTCAGACAAAAATCTGTGAGCCGGAGGCTAAAAAACTG